GATTAGACTATAGACTAGACTATAGACTAGACTATAGACTAGACTATAGACTAGACTATAGACTAGACTATAGACTAGACTATAGACTAGACTATAGACTAGACTATAGACTAGACTATAGACTAGACTATAGACTAGACTATAGACTAGACTATAGACTAGTCTATAGTCTAGACTATAGACTAGACTATAGACTAGACTATAGACTAGACTATAGACTAGACTATAGACTAGACTATAGACAAGACTATAGACTAGACTATAGACTAGACTATAGACTAGACTATAGACTAGACTAGAGACTAGACTATAGACTATAGACTAGACTATAGACTAGACTATAGACTAGACTATAGACTAGACTATAGACTAGACTATAGACTAGACTATAGACTAGACTATAGACTAGACTATAGACTAGACTACAGACTAGACTATAGACTAGACTATAGACTAGACTATAGACTAGACTATAGACTAGACTATAGACTAGACTATAGACTAGACTATAGACTAAACTATAGACTAGACTATAGACTAGACTATAGACTAGACTATAGACTAGACTATAGACTAGACTATAGACTAGACTATAGACTAGACTATAGACTAGACTATAGACTAGACTATAGACTAGACTATAGACTAGACTATAGACTAGACTATAGACTAGACTATAGACTAGACTATAGACTGGACTATAGACTAGACTATAGACTAGACTATAGACTAGACTATTGTCTAGACTATAGACTAGACTATAGACTAGACTATAGACTAGACTATAGACTAGACTATAGACTAGACTATAGACTAGACTATAGACTAGACTATAGACTAGACTATAGACTAGACTATAGACTAGACTATAGACTACACTATAGACAAGACTATAGACTAGACTATAGACTAGACTATAGACTAGACTATAGACTAGACTATAGACTAGACTATAGACTAGACTATAGACTAGACTATAGACTAGACTCTAGACTATAGACTAGACTATAGACTAGACTATAGACTAGGCAATAGACTAGACTATAGACTAGACTAGACTATAGACTAGACTATAGACTAGACTATAGACTAGACTATAGACTAGACTATAGACTAGACTATAGACTAGACTATAGACTAGACTATAGACTAGACTATAGACTAGACTATAGACTAGACTATAGACTAGACTATAGACTAGACTATAGACTAGACTAGACTATAGACTAGACTAGACTATAGACTAGACTAGACTATAGACTAGACTAGACTAGACTAGACTAGACTAGACTAGACTAGACTAGACTATAGACTAGACTAGACTATAGACTAGACTAGACTATAGACTAGACTAGACTATAGACTAGACTAGACTATAGACTAGACTAGACTATAGACTAGACTATAGACTAGACTAGACTATAGACTAGACTAGACTATAGACTAGACTAGACTATAGACTAGACTATAGACTAGACTAGACTATAGACTAGACTAGACTATAGACTAGACTAGACTATAGACTAGACTATAGACTAGACTATAGACTAGACTATAGACTAGACTATAGACTAGACTATAGACTAGACTATAGACTAGACTATAGACTAGACTATAGACTAGACTATAGACTAGACTATAGACTAGACTATAGACTAGACTATAGACTAGACTATAGACTAGACTATAGACTAGACTATAGACTAGACTATAGACTAGACTATAGACTAGACTATAGACTAGACTATAGACTAGACTATAGACTAGACTATAGACTAGACTATAGACTAGACTATAGACTAGACTATAGACTAGACTATAGACTAGACTATAGACTAGACTATAGACTAGACTATAGACTAGACTATAGACTAGACTATAGACTAGACTATAGACTAGACTATAGACTAGACTATAGACTAGACTATAGACTAGACTATAGACTAGACTATAGACTAGACTATAGACTAGACTATAGACTAGACTATAGACTAGACTATAGACTAGACTATAGACTAGACTATAGACTAGACTATAGACTAGACTATAGACTAGACTATAGACTAGACTATAGACTAGACTATAGACTAGACTATAGACTAGACTATAGACTAGACTATAGACTAGACTATAGACTAGACTATAGACTAGACTATAGACTAGACTATAGACTAGACTATAGACTAGACTATAGACTAGACTATAGACTAGACTATAGACTAGACTATAGACTAGACTATAGACTAGACTATAGACTAGACTATAGACTAGACTATAGACTAGACTATAGACTAGACTATAGACTAGACTATAGACTAGACTATAGACTAGACTATAGACTAGACTATAGACTAGACTATAGACTAGACTATAGACTAGACTATAGACTAGACTATAGACTAGACTATAGACTAGACTATAGACTAGACTATAGACTAGACTATAGACTAACTATAGACTAGACTATGACTAGACTATAGACTAGACTATAGACTAGACTATAGACTAGACTATAGACTAGACTATAGACTAGACTATAGACTAGACTATAGACTAGACTATAGACTAGACTATAGACTAGACTATAGACTAGACTATAGACTAGACTATAGACTAGACTATAGACTAGACTATAGACTAGACTATAGACTAGACTATAGACTAGACTATAGACTAGACTATAGACTAGACTATAGACTAGACTATAGACTAGACTATAGACTAGACTATAGACTAGACTATAGACTAGACTATAGACTAGACTATAGACTAGACTATAGACTAGACTATAGACTAGACTATAGACTATATGACTAGACTATAGACTACAGAGACTATAGACTCGACTATCGACTAGGACCTATAGACTAGATATAGACTAGGCTATAGACTAGACTATAGACTAGACTATAGAATAGACTAAGCCTAGACTATAGACTAGACTATAGACTAGACTATAGACTAGGCAATAGACTAGACTATATACTTTATTATAAATCAGACTGCAGACCTGACTATACTATAGATCAGACTACATTTCAGACTATAGACCATCATAAAGATCAAGCTGTAAGTCAAGCAATAGCCCATAGAATAATAATATAATAGATCAGATATATACACACAAAAATTCACACTATGGACTATACTGTAAATAGACCGGAATATTGACTAACTATAGACCAGATTATAGATCAAGCTATATACCGAACTATATTAAAACTACAGAAAAACAATAGTCCAAACCATAGATCAATAATATAATAGGATCATATATAGCGCAGACTATAAACCTCACTATAACCCAGACTCTTTTCTAAAATATAAACTGGACTTTAGATCAAATTATAGACCTATATATAAACCATACTATAGATCAGTTTTAAACCAGTTGAATAAATATAAACTCCCTTTTCATCTTTCCTAAGCTGAAAAGAGAGTTTTGGAGATCGTAATCTATTAAAATCAAAGATGTACTTATAACACTGTTGCCCCTGGTGACACACCCAGTATTTACTATAGTGGTCCTATAAAAAGTTTTACACACATTTTTTTTTAATTTATTTTTATATACATGTTTTTTTATTATTATTTAAATTTTATTTACATTTTGGTGGGTCACGAATATTTAAATTTTTGCATATAAAGAATATGTTAAAAAAACTGCTCATACATAAATTTTTATTTTGTCTAAAATACGAGTGTATTTAATAAATTTATTTATTATAGTTAATTTATTCAAAAAGGTCAGTAAATTATTAATTACGGTTGTAAAATAATTGCTACCATAAAATAAAATTGCACTGGAATATTCGATAAACAAGTTAGTTTTTTTAAAGGGGCGCTCAATGAATTGATTTTCAGGTTTAAATAAGATTTAAGTTATGGAGATATAAGTACTATATGAACCTTAGTCAGTTTCTAAAGGGATTCTTCTAGAAGTTAGTTTTGTTATAATGTCCGGGTTTTGTTGGAAAATTTTATTTAGATGTCTGCATAACTTAAATATTTATCTAAACTCAGTGAAATAATGATCCGATTTCTATAATTTCAATAGGTTTATGTGGTGATTTTGTACTGTTAACTGAAGAAGTACTGATCTTGCGGGAGACGGGAGACTACCTCGTTCTGATCCTGAGACTATTTATAATATTTTACCATCTTGTTTAAAACTGATCTTTTTCGCATGGATATCGCGATCTTCCTATGCTTAAACCTTATCTTGATTTTAAAAAGACTGATAAGATCATCATTACAAACTGACATTGCTTTGGCAGTTACTGATCTTGCTTTTCGAAAGACTACCTGATATGGCCTGAATTTCTGTTGCTAAAAAATTATGTGATTATGATCCGATATCAATAACTGTTATCGCTTCATGAAATACTGATCTTGCTTTACGGGAGCCTATTTCGTTCTGATCTTGAGACTATTTATAATATTTTACCATCTTGTTTAAAACTGATCTCTTTTCGCATGTCTATTGCGATCGTTCTATGTTTGAACCTGATCTTGGTTTTAAAAAGGCAGATAAGATCGTCATTGCAAATTGGTATTGCTTTGGCAATTACTGATCTTGCTTTTCGAAAGACAATCTGATATGGCTTGAATTTCCGTTGCTAAAAAAATGGTTTTAAACTTTACTTACCTTTAAACTTATATTATTTTTTCTTATATTAATAAAAATAGTTTTTGGTTTTCGTTTAGAAAAATATATTTTTGAAAAATTTTTTTTATTAAAATTTATTTTATTTTTTAAATAACATTCAATACATGTTTTTCTTAATTTTTAAATAGAAATAATAAACAATTACATTATTTTTAAGCTAATTAATATTTTAATAGAATTTTAAACTAAATCACTAACTTAAATAATATTTAATAAATATGCTAGAAAAAATAATATATAATTTATTGTCAATTTGTAAAATAAAAAAATATTTTTTTTAACAAAAAAAAGTTCAAATTCGAAAAAAGTGTGAAAATAAACAATATTTTTGTTTAAATTTATAAATATAATAGAAAAAAAAGTACTTTAAAACATAATTATTAAAGTTTAAAAGAAAATATTTTAAAAATTTATTATTTATAAAAATTTTCAGGACAATTAAAGCACAAAGAAGGCAATTTAAAAGAAATTAGTTTTGAAATATTACACATTTAGATAAAATATAAAATTTTAGTAAAATTAAAAAAAAAAACTTAAGCATACATTAGTTAATATATTTATAACTTAAATATGTATTAATTAATAATTTTATTACCAAAATTTCCTAAAAGAAACAAAACAAAAGTTATCATTTTGGGAATTAGAAAATACTAAAAAAAAACAATGAAATATTTTCATTGTATCAACAAAACTGTTAATCAATACAATAAAAACAATACGATTTGGTTTATTCCACAATTAAAAACAAATTTTATGAGAAAAACTTTCATCAAAAAGTTAAACTAATATTACAAATTGTAAAGTTTATAGTTAAAGTTAAACTTCAGTTTAACTTAATTTCACTTCAATCATTTCAATTCAGCGTTCAGATTAACAAAATTTTTAAAGAAAATTATTTAACCAGAAAAAAAACTATAGTTGAATTTGCTTGCAAGATAAAATTTAACAAAAATCTAGCAAAATCAATTAAACATTTGCTAAAATTAGTAATTACCTTATTTCACCAAATATTTTGTTAATGTGAACATAATTTAAGACTTATTAATAAAGATCATGATATAAAAATTTAATTAAAAAGTTATTTATATTTAATAATAGTAGTTTTTTAGTTTAAAATATTTAATTATTCATAGTTAGTTTAACTAACTTTTTTAACATCGTATTTCGTTTCGTTTAAAGTTTAAATATTTTTAAAAATTGCAGTGTTTATTTTTTATTAATAAAATTTATGATTTATTATTAGGATCAATAAAATATTATTAATCATTTTAACTCGGCAGTGATATAGTTTATAATTTTCATATTATGAAATACATATATAAACTTAGTTTAACTACTTATTATTTAATTGACATGCTAGTTTAAACTCTATTTAACCAGCAATAGTTACAATGATCATCATTATCTATTAAAGCATGTTTTTAGAATTTGAATTTTTAACAAAATTATTTGAAAATTTTTCCGCAAAATCTTTACACGATTTTTAAAATTATCTATTAAAGCATGTTTTTAGAATTAAAATTTTTAACAAAATTATTTGAAAAATTTTCCGCAAAATTTTTACACGATTTTTAAAATTATTAATTAAAGCATGTTTTTAGAATTTAAATTTTTAACAAAAATATTGAAAAAAAAATTTCCGCAAAAGTTTTATACGATTTTTAAAATTACAGAACGTTTTATGATCATTTTGTTCTTAAAACTTTTGACATGAAAATTCCGATAGAAAGTAACTAAAATACTGGGACCGTCATTGCGATCTTAAAACTGATACTTTACCGATAGACTACTTCGTTTAAAACTGATCTTGCTTTTAAAAAGAGGCATACTTTTCCACAAAGTTTTTACTTGATTTTCAAATTGAAATAACTTAATTACTGTGTACTGTCATTGCGATCAATCTATGTTTCAAAATGAATTTATTTTCGAAAATACTGATCTTGCTTTATAGAAAACTAATTCGTTCTGATCATGTCTTGAGAAATTTTAATATTTCATTATATAGTTTAAAACTGATCTCATCTTGTCAGATATAAATGATCTAAAAAGCCGATTTGAAAGTTTGATAATCTTATATGAAATCAACTAACAAAAAAATTAAATTACTGGGATCGTAATTGATGGTTAAAAACTGATCTTGTCTTAAGAGAAATTTATAATATTTCACTAACTCATTCTGTACTTAAAACTGATCTTGATTGTGCAAAGACTGATTGTTTTCCTGGGAAGCAAGTAAATTACTGGGATCGCTACTACGATCACTCTTTGTTTTGGAATATATACTGATATTACTTTACAGAAGTAATAACGTTGAAAACTGATCTTGTCTTAGAAATTTCATTATCATTTTGAAACTGATCTTGTTTTGCAAAAGGTTTATGATAATCCACTAAATAAATTACTTGGATAGACATTGCAATATTTTAGGAAATAATAATCTTTATTCTGGGAAGACTATATCATTTCAAATAGGTCTTACCTAGAGAAAATCTCTTAAAATTTCACTCTTTCGGACGAAACTGATCGCTTATCGTCTGAGATGTTAATAATCTTCTACTAACAAAATTATTACGATCATTTTGAACTTAAAACTTATTTAGGAAGACAAATAATCTTTCATAAAGATTTTGCAAAAATTATTGAAATGAAATATAAAAATTATTGCGATCGTTATAGTGATCACACTAAGTATACTTAAAACTGATATTGCTTTTCGTGAATAATTACCTCGTTTAAAACTGATCTTGCCTTAAGAAAATCTTGTCTTGTGATATATTGGAACTAATCTGGTCTAGAGAAAAATTAATCATTCATAATTACGTTTCATTACGTTCTCTAAGAATGAAAAGTATACATAAATATATTTTAAGAACCATAATGCGTCTGTTTCGATAATTTTGTATATAAAGTCAAATTTTAGTATAAAATAATTTTGATCAAAATGTTTAAGACCATACTAATGTATTTAAAGATCACTTACTTGGTGGAAAGTTTCGCTGTATGGAGAAGAGAGTGCGTAAAGACCAACTGGGAGAGAATAACCTCTGTTAAGGTCTTCAGGAACAAAAATTTGAATAATATATACATAGAATATAGGATTATTCATAGTTAATGCAATTTGTAATTGATATAGAGCTGTAGGCTTGATTTAGGAAACGCTGGTCTTATTTTACGAAAAACTTTCTTGTTCTGATCTGAGATATTTACAATATTTTATCATCTAGTTTAAACTGATCTCATCCCATTCTACGCGATCAACAGCTTTATTTTGTAGCGGTGGTGAAGATGATTGAAACTTTTACATAAAATGATTTCTTTAGAGAATGTTATAACGAAAGATATAGAACGGCTAGAGATTCTGAAAATCTTTTACTATTATACCACCACGTTTCTTTGTCCCTAGATAAATATTATAAAGGTTATACTAAAACGATCTTGAAGTTGATCGAGCTGGATTATGTTTTACAAAACATATACCCAAAATACTTGGATTTTCTTTTCAAGAGTAAAATATAGATTCTTGCATCTCACGAACAAATCTGATCCATAAACGATCTTAAGGGTTGAACTATTCAAATAGATCTTAACAAAGCAAATATTATAACGTTTTTTAAACTTATTCTACAATTCTAGGTAAATGATAATTATAAATCGTTTTCTAAAACTATAAAGGAAGAATCGTAAAGTTATCGTAATATATATCAATTGAAGAATTTAATCATGATGAATTAGTGCCTTAACCCTAAACTAAGTAGATTTTAAGGCTGTAAATTAAATGTTTCTTTTCAAGTATTTTAACCTGACTTAAAAAAACTAACCTCTAAATTTTATACTAAAAATTATATATAATAATTATTTTCTGATAAAATTCTAAGAAAACTTAATTAAATTTTATATAGAATCTAGGATTATATTGAAGATTTGTTTACTTTTTATATAGCTATAAAATTTATTAACTTTTTATATTCCTAAATATAACCAAATTTTGTTATTACCAATTGAAAAATCTAATAAAATCTAATACCTGAGAGTTTCTAAACAATTTTTTAATAGAACTTTATCTGGACATAACCTCAAAAACCAATTTTTAAATTATATAATCTTTAAAATTTAAATAAAATGAATTTTTAAAATTTTTTTTTTTTAATTCCAAATATTTTTATTATAATTTAAATGTTTATAAATATCAGTTAAATATGTTCGCAGCAAATTGTTAGTAGAATATTTTTTAAAATATGCCAATTTATTATAATTTATAACAATTAATTGCCAATTTAAATTTATTCATAAAACTACTGTTAATAGAAATGTTGTAATAAACTATTAAATAATAATTAAAAAAAAAACTTAAAACTATTAATTTTTAACACTGCAATTTTTCTCACAAAATAATTAACATTTACGTAAACAAAAATATATTTAAAAAATTATTAAAAAACATAATTAATCGTTTTATATATAGAGGGAAGGATGTTTAAGGAATAACAGCCATTTTTAGTTTTAACTTTCAAAGCCCTGCTTAATATTGGTGGCAAAACAACAAAAAATTAATTTGAAGTAAAAAAAAAACAAATACAAAATGAACACTTTTGTTTAATACAAAATCTTACCTATACAGCTATACATACATATGTATATAGGCCGCCTAAACGGGCGATATAGTTTGCTCAAATTTACGAGCCCTTGAACCAAATCCCTTACTACCATCTGGTCCCATAGGTGTGCGCACCAAATGTTCAGCTGTGCGTGTAGCAAATGATCCTGAGCGAGAGCGTGGTGAACCATCCAGGAAACTACCGGTGCGTGAACGAGGTTGGCCATCATAATCATTGATGCCGTGTTTATAGTTATTAAGAAAACTATTAGTACGTGAGCGTGGTGAACCCTCGTACTCGGAACCAAATGAAAAACGACGATCATAACCAGAATCGGTGGATATACGTCGGCCATTGATGTATTGAGCATTATCATAGGCGGCCAATTTGCTGCTAATATTATTGTTAAAATTATTGGAATAACGTCGTGGAAAGACATTATAGCCACCACCACCGCCACCCACATTGGGATCATCATAAGGCGAGCCAGTTTGGGTTTCCAACGATTGCTTACGCTCCAGATTAAAGTCATTGGAAGGTCTGCGTTGAAAGTGATTACTTATATCACTGCCATTCGAAAAGGTTCTTTCGAATTGCATGGAACCATTAGAGAAACGTCTTTCTCCACCACTACCTATAGAGCCCTGAGAAGTTTTACGATATACTTCTGTCTGGCCAAAATCAGAAATACGTCTTGTACAGGGACAATTATCGGAGCAGTTGGAATCACGTCTTTGCGGTGCATTTTCCGAACAATTTGATGAACGTCTTACGGCATCGGCATAACCTTCTTGAGAACAGTTCGACAGACGTCTCACCAGATTGTGGGAGTTGCTAGTGTTATTAGAGATATTGTTCAAATTCGTGTGTGTCGGCTTGGTCGACATGACTGTGGTGTCAATATTATTAATGCTGTTATTGTTGGCTGTATGGGCCGATATCGTTGAGGTGTTGCTATATCTGCGAGGAGTATAAGCAAAGAAATTGCTGTTGGTGCCGGGAGACGAAGGTGGTTGACTGGATAGGGCATCTTGATTAATACTACCACGGTGTTGATAATGTCCTGAGGCTGGATGATGCCCCTGATGCTGCTGATGATGTTGAGGCTGATGCGCATGATGATCACTGCCAAAACTACCACGATGTGTTGGTGTATAGCCAGTCGATGCTGCATTATGATAGTGTGGCGCCGCTGTTGTGGGTCCATACGATTGATGAACATCGTTGTTATAGGCCTTCGCGGCAAAATCTGAATTATTACGTTTCAATCTATAGCGTAAATCGATATCTTGTACTGGCATACCACTGAAACTGCCACCCCTTGTGCGTTCATAGCTGTGATCATTGAAATAGCGATAATTCTCCACCATACGTACCACCGGAGCCGAAACCTGTATGACTGCCTTTTTGCCAGTTTTCTTTTTGGGAGCCACCATTTCGTAAACCTTAAAAGGACCCTGCAAATTCCTGGCTTCTCTAGCCGAGGACGATTCCAAATATTCCACTAAAGCACATTCTTTTTGCTGCATTTCCGGATACTTGTTCATAAATTGACGCACATCTACGGGTATGGCCATGCCCGGTTTCAAAATACGTATCAAAGCTATTTCACCACATTTGGAGAATATATCGGAAACCTTTTCTATGGTCAATTTATCTAAGGGCAAATCACAAGCCACTATAGTGCGTGAAGGCATGGTCTCATCGAAATTGGGTAAAGCTTCAATACGTCTTACCTTGGTGCCCACATCGTTGAGTTCTATCTTAAGCGATTTACGTCTTACCGCATTACCCACCACCTTCCAGTCCTTGGTCAATTGTCGAACACGTTTAAAGCTGGAAACCAATTTCAGACTAACATAACCCTCCTTATTGCGCTTGACATGTTTGAGTAAAAAGGCATCTTTGAGTATACTATCATTGGAGAAATAATACTCAACAGCATCGGCTATTTCGGCGGCCAAATCATCACTGGGTATTAAAGCTGGATCTAGGTTATCTATTTCATTTATCAGGGTCTTATCACCCGAGGCTGAGGTGGCCTGAGATACCACCGAATTGGCCTTCTCGGCAGCTAAAGGTTCTGTTTTCTTCATGGTTAAGAAGGAGCGATGTACCCGTTTGGTTTCTAAAACTGGTGAGTTGGGGTTATCAGCCGTTTTAGGGCAGTTGTCGTTAGTTTGTTCTTTAGTTTGGAAATCATATTTAAAATTAGGATGTAAATATATATTATCCATTATGGGATGAGCTTGTGCCACGGACTGATGTTTACGGAATTTTTCCAAATTGGCCTCACTTAGGATAGCGGTATTGCTGGTGGATTTCTCAGGACAGCTTAAAACGGCTGTAGAAATGGGTGTATTGGAGCTTAAGGAACTGCTGGTGGTGGTGTTGGTTGAGCTGCATCTTAGATCTATTTCATGCAAAACATGATTATCCACTGCCAAAGGCTTCAACTCATCATCTTCCTCAGATTCCTCAGAACCTTCTATAGAAGAACCCATGCCAACATCTATTTTCTCATCAATATTATCCGCGGAAGGAGAATTACGTGGCGGAGGTGGAGACATGGCGGGAGCTGTTGGTAGTGGCAAATGTTCCAAAGAATCACAACTATCCTGCGAATTATAATCCTCACCATTATTACTACTGCAGCCACTAAAGCCCGCCGTCAAACCCTCATCACTATCAAATTGCGAATCCACAGATTGTTCCTGCGACTCTAGACGCTGTAATAAAGCTTGTGCGGACTTTTTAGCATGAAATCTTAAAAGTTTAGACGGTAAAGAGGAAGACAAAGGAACTATGGCTTTTGTGGAACATTCCGGAGAAGAACAAGAACTACTGCAGCAGGGCTTTTCCTCTACGGGGGATGTAACAACTGGCACTGCTTTAAGCTGATCCCGGTTGTTTAATTGTGTTTGTGTGGTAGTGGTGGTAACTTCTTCTGTTCTTACAGTGGTCACCAAAAATGTATGAGCATTTTTAATATGTTGACTGCGTATCTCACAGGTGTCGCTGCTGCTGTTGTTGTTATCCTTAGCTGTTACCAGCTGTATAACTTCTTCCGGTTGAGGCATATCTTTAAGGTTAGATTCTTTAATGGGTTCACTCATGTTGTTTTAGTTTTTTTTAACGTTTCTATAAGAAACACTTGGATTTGCTTTAGGGGGGTTTTTACCGTTACTTTTTCTATTATTGAAATCCAATATTACAAAATTTTGTGGGTTTTTTTTTGTGGTAATTTTTAAATTGTTATTTAATTGTGCTGTATTAGTGGTTTTGTTTTCCAACAACTTGAACTTCAATTATCTGTTTATGTTGTTAGCGATCGTTGGCTGTGTTGGTTTGTTTTCTGCTGCAAGATCACCTCTTACGTGTGGTAACCAGTAGTAGAGAGTTGGTAATCTAAAACTTTGCTTTGCTTTGGTTTTTTTTTTTTGCAGTCAATTGCAAATAATAGTTTAACACAGCTTCCCAACTATCTTTTTTTCTGCAAAACCAAACCGAGAAAGAAATATTAAACCCAGAGTTTAAGTTTCTTGACTTTCACTTTCTATTACAACTCTTAACGTTTGAGGTTTTCGTTTTAAACGTGCTGGGTTTTGTTTGTTTATGTTTATTTTAGTTTTTTTTTTCTTCTACTTCTTCTTTACGTGCTTTATTTTCAAGGTCGTTGCTTTAACGGTTTTAATTTTTCTATTTCGTTTTATTACTTAGAGGCGTCCGTTAGGTTTTAGTTTAACCAATTGGGGAAAAACTTAAAGGTTTTCTTAACACAACCGCTCAAACAAATTTTTTTTTAAATAAATCGTTCATTGAACGTGTTTGATGGCTTACAGTTTGTTATAAATTTAGCTTCTTTTTCAAAAATACATAATTTATTTTTTTTTTAACCATTTAAAGATGTTGTAATAATGCTCTTCGATACTCAAAGAGGGGGTTTTTTCCGTCCATTCATTCGTGTTATAAACTTGGCTAAGTGAACGTGCTTAAAATTGCAACTGGTTGGCTGATCGTTAAAACATGTTTGAAGCCACAGACCCCAATATTTGTTGGGTTTTATTTAAAACAAAGCTTCTTTTTTATATTGTTTCTGTTTAACACTATTAATAAATTATGTTCATTGCATTCCAATCAAACTAGGTTTCAGTATTTAGGGCACTTTTTTTTTCAAAACAACAAAAAAAAATTGTCACCATTTATATTAGATAATCGTCTAATTAATGCCAAAATCGTCAAACCATCACTTCTTTAAATTTTTGTTTAAATATAATAATCACGTTTTTTGTTCATTTTAGTTGTTTTATGTTTAAAACTTTATATTCTAACATTTAGCCGTAAGTTTAGTTATGGTTTAACTTTAAAAAAAAAAAAAAACATTACACAAAAACAATTTTTTAATAAAAATGTCAAGTTCAAGCTTAGTAATCCATTATAGTTTTTATTTAATTTTTATAATTAGTTTTTTTTCTTTGACCGTTACAAAAAGTAAAAAATTTAAAAAAAATTTACTTTTTTCTGTTATTTTTTTTTTTAATTACGAGAGAGTTCATGCAACGCTGCAACACGGAGATAGACTGAAATTGCAAATTGATTTGAGGTCGGTTAAATACCCTCTGCTTTCGTTAGTTTAGTTTTTTTTTTGTTTGTTTCGGTGTATGTGAGTGCGAGTATGTTTTTTAAGTGTTCATGTAAATGTGTAAGTGTTTTAGTTTTTTTTTTTGTGATTTTTTTGTTGTGAATGCGTTCGCCTTTTTGTTTGTGCTAAAAGTCTGTCGGTTTCCTTCGTCTTGATAAACGT